CCCCCAATTCATACTCTAGAATAATTATGGTATGGCTTTGTATAAGTCCTAGTGTCTGAACTCTAAAAATTTGAGACTACGCTTATGGTGAAGGAAGCGAAGTTATGCTGCACCCTGGTGCATTTGCCGCTTCTTAGGAAAGGTTTTCCCCATTGTGTACCTAAATCACATGTCCGTCTTTTTGAACCTAGAACCTCTTCTTTTCTATGCTTTCATTTCTTGGTTATAATTGTTGCTACTATCGGCTATCTGCCACCTCACCTGTTTGATAAGCAGTGATGGACAGTGTTTTTAGCCAGCACAACTACTTTGAATTAGAGGAGGAGTGTTAGGAACAGAAAGTTACCACTCAGGATGATTTGAAGGAGTCATCCTTTACCAGGAAGGATTTTTGGATGTAGTACAGCCAAGACGGCAGACTGTCTATCTTGGGGTTCCTTAGGAGTAAATGACAATTAGATCTAACCGTGGGACTAGCAAGAAGTTTTGTCTTACATCTGTGCTATAGCTACTTTGACCTAAACCTTAATTTTCACTCTTCGCTGACTGTAGAGAGACCTGATTTATACTAGCAGCAGATCGGCTATCCCAGATCTTATACTAGCACAGTGTTCGTTTTAATACACTAGTCCCAGACAATGTCTCCAGATATTTCCTTTCTGCAGGTATGTGTCTTAAGTATATATGCATTTTAAGATTTTTATATTCGTGAAGTATAATTTTAACCAGGGGATGCAATTCCATGCCAATTTAGCTGTTAGAAAAATCACAATCAGCCTGAAGTGGGTGTTATACTAAAATATTTTATATTTCTGCTTGTTTATCCACAGTTTGGGGATTTGGGTTCCTGGCTGTGACTATCATTAACTTGGCATCACTTCTGGGATTGATTTTAACTCCCTTCTTAAAGAAGTCATATTTCCCCAAGGTTTTGACCTACTTTGTGGGCTTGGCCATCGGTACTCTCTTTTCTAATGCAATTTTCCAGCTCATTCCAGAGGTAAGCAAGGGGAATCATGATTTGGTTTGCGTACCAGTTTCTAAAGAGTATTAATTTTAGAAGCATGCTGCAGTGGGGTTCTGTGTGTGGTTTGCAATCTCTAGAGTTGTGGGTGGGCTTCAGTGCCATTAACTACTATCTCTTTCTGGCTGGGTGAGCAGAGACATCAAGATCTATGTCTAAATTGTGCCATGGGAAAGATCAAGGGCTATTCTGCCTCTAGACAGAAAAAGAAGTGCATTGGATAAATTTCTAGTGAATTTTAATGGGCTAGAGGTTAGACACTCCTCGTCTTGCACTTTACTACTACATTTCGCATGTAATGTTCTACTGAATTTAAACACTGTTAACATTTAATCCAAGTAAAAAAAAATCTAAAAAGATCAGGATCTTTCATAATTTCAGCCTCATGGAAATTCATGATTGGTAGAGAGTGTCTATTTTAGAGGAGTATCTCTGTGTGGGGGGCGTTTGTTTGTTTTTCTGGAAATGTGCTAAGATTACAGACTAATTTGCATTGCTGTTTTCTTCACTGTTAGGCATTTGGGTTTAACCCCAAAGTCGATAACTATATTGAGAAAGCAGTTGCTGTGTTTGGTGGATTCTATATTGTCTTCTTTGTGGAAAGGATTCTTAAAGTGATATTGAAGATCTATAACCAGGTAATGAAACATATCACTAACTGAACGAGCCTTGCCTTAAAGTACCTGCTGTATTTTATAAGATACTTGATAGTTTAACAAAATGGGGGGGTGTGTGTTCCATTTTATCTGAGGAATTCAGCCTTACTGCATGTTCTGATATATCTGTTTAAAATCCATATGGACAGGTGAAGCAATCTCACTTTTTTGAGGGAGTTAGAAGCAGAGCTGGGAATAGAATCCAGATGTGAGTATGGTCTGCTGTCACTGGTGTATGCTCTAGTTGCTCTCAACAGCCAAGTCGTTGCCGTGCTAGCTAAACGCATCAGAAAAAAGTGGAAATACATAACAGCTGGAGAGAATGGAGTCTGTCCCTGGAGCTCCCCTTTGGGCAGGAGAAATCAATGTGATATACATGCTTTCTTAGTCATCTGTAAAGTGTAACTGTGCTGACAGTGCCTGAATCTCACCTTCAGTAACTTCAGCTCCGTGTTTCCGCATGCTCTGGCACACAGACCTGCTTTAGTGGCACTACAGTTATCCATACTGCACAGGGCTCTGCTTTCTTCCCATATGTTGGAGTACTTGTTTTCTGTGTACTCATGTCAGTGAGGCTGAATTTGTCTCAGACAAGGACCTCTCAAAATTTTTGGCCTTCTCTGCTCATGTTTTGCAAAGGAAACTGTCCTTCCTGTCTTCCTACTCTTACCTCACTTAAGGTCCACCCTCCCAAACTGTTGCTGATATTGAAGATTATGAAGATCAACTGTCCCTCGTTTGTAATAAAAGCACAAAAAAACACAGAAAAAATTAATTTGTTGCCCTTTATTTTTGGGAACAGTTGACAAAAGCTGATAAAATCTATTTGAGAAGAAGCCATGAATAACTAGCAAATGTTGATTACTTATGGTCAGGTGTTCGATTTGGGAGGTTCTATATAAAGGTATAAAAATGAAAAATCCCCACCTGTATTCTGATTAGCTAAAAGTAAGAGATAAGTTAGGAACTTAGATATGTATGGAGTTCATTTAAACATTTAAATGTTTACTGCTGCCCATTTAAACATTTAATTGGTGCTGAAAGCAAGGCAGCATGAATACGATGCCCCCACCTTTTCTTTTTTGGTCTCTTGTTTTCTTCTGTTTGTTATTTTGTTTTTGTTTTAATTAGCTATCTAATTATTTAATTGTCACCTAGGGTGGCCATAATGACTCTGAAAATGGTGAACAGAATTGTTCTCAGGATAAGACTAATCCACCCAAACCACTGTCATCCAGCAATGGGGGAACGTGTTATGCAAATTCAGCCGTCATAGAGAGCAAAGGAGATCTTGGTTTTGACAGCATCAGTGTGATCTCAGCACAGGTATGAAAATTGTGTCTATTTATTTATTTTATCCCTGCCAATTATATAAGCATATCTGAGGGGAGAGTTAATATGATTTTTTTATTACTTTTGTCAGGGTTTTGTAAACTTACAGCTTGCTTGAGCCCTACAAAAATATGTGGGGTTTTGGAGCAAGCTTACAAAACCTGAATGCTGCATTCAATTTGTAGCCAACAGAAACAGCTAACTGGTATCAGTGTCAGAATGGGTAGGTCAGAGATATATGTTTAATTGGGTAATTCAGTTAATTTTTATTTTGTTGTTGTTGTATTCCTTAAAGAGTGATAGTGTGTTTTATTGTTGCTTGATCCTTATTGCGTTCCTGACTATGTAAAGCCGTAAGTGTGAGAACCTGATTCCTCTGAATCAATGATTAATGAGGAAAACTAATACAGTAACTTTGTATCACAATATCTTGTGAGGACTGGTTGTGCTAGTCCAGTATATTTGGAAACTGTGGGAATTACAGAGGTAACGTGTTGAGACGGAAGCCATTCCTCCTGGTTTAAACACTATTCTCTTTCAGATTTGTTCTCTATATCTCTCTGTGTTTGTTTTCATACCACAAATACAACTTCCTTCTGTCTGAGAAGAAAATGGAAGCAGGAAGAGAAAGTTGGTGTGCTTCTTTACTCTTTTCCCTGTACAGGGAGCATTAGTACTGTTCCTTATTTTTTTTTTTAAAAAAAACCCACCACATAGAAACAATACTCTGATGGCTAAGGCAGATTTTTTCATAGTAGAGATTTCTATTTTACCACCCATGTTCTTTAGCAAGTAAGTTGTTTGTGGCAAGCAGTGAGGAGCAGGAGAGGAAGCCAGAGGCAGGCCCTAACAGCCAGGAGAGAATCCGAGAGTTCTGCATTGACCCTGCAGGCCCACAGGGTGTTGGATGCACACAGTTTGAAGTACCAAAATTGTACTTGCCCTTAATGTAGATATGTTATGAAGGGTGGTGGATACTGGGCATTTTAAAAACTAGGAGAAACTAATTAAAATTGCATGGGCACCAAGAGGGAATTAGTATTATGAGTGTCCCTAAACAGTATTTTGTAGATTTATAAAACAAACAAAAGAACCCTCCAGTGGTATGGGTGTTGTTTTTCTGCCTGTTTACCAGAAGTTTTATCTGAACTTGTTCCATTATTACATTTTGGCTAGCCATCTGCTTACACATTACATAAACTTAACAAAATCATACCGTATATTACAATAATAAAACGTAACTGTATAGCATTTATTTCTAGCTACTAGTTTAGCTGCAGTGCTCGCGGTCATAAGGTTTTGTAGGTCACCCCAAGGTCCTTTGTGGAATACTCATACATGTCCTTTTAGGTGCAGTCTTGACTTTAAGAACTTAAGATTTCATGAGGGTTGTTCTCCTCTATTTATTGTTCTTATGAAAATTCATGCTTTCCGTTCTTTTTTCCTGTCCATTTCTCCAAAGCCAGGAAGAGAATATATTGTATTAAAACCTCCTGAAAGTAACAGGGTAAAATTAATTCTGAAGCCAAGGCTGGCTGCAAGGATATCCCAGAGGCAGATAGCCCACTGCTGATACTGGAGGTAGCAACAAAAAAGCCATCATTACTCTTTTCCTTCTCCAGGCAGGAGGAGTCATTAGGGGCAAGGGAGGGCCAGTGTGGCTGGAGGGGATTTGGGGCAGCTAGTGTGGTGCCATGAGGATGGGTATGCATTCAACTTCACAGGCATTTGGTATTTACGAAGGAACCATTTGGCATAAGCCAACACATACCAAAGAGAATTTTAATGTGCCTTTGTAATTTAGAATTAATTAGAGAGGGAAACACAGCGTAGCCAGAAATCATCATGTAGGCTTTAAGGAGGGAGATAGAAGTCCAATTGTGCCAAAGTGTGGTAGCTATTTTCAGCCATGGGGATTCAGTCGTTTTCTCTCTTTTAATGCCAGAACAGACTGACTGCCAGAGTAAATATATGCGATAGGACGAGGGGAAATGGTCTGAAGTTGCACCAGGGCAGGTTTAGGTCAGACATTAGGAAAAATTTTTTCAATGAAAGGGTTGTCAAGCATTGGAACGGGCTGCCCAGGGAGGTGGTTGAGTCCCCATCCCTGGAGGTATTTAAAAGACAGGTAGACTTGGTCCTTAGGGACATGATTTAGTGGTGGGATGGCAGGGTTAATGGTTGGACTTGATGATCTTAAAGGTCTTTTCCAACCTAGACGATTCTATGATTATCTAAAATAGATTGCAGGCAAGAATTATGATACTTTGAAGATACACAGTAAACAGCAGATAGCCCTATATGTATTACAGAAGCCTCTCGGAAACTGATTACTAGTTTTTAAACTACAATTTTCTCTTCATTTTGAAAGATTGGATCAAGAAAGTAATTTTTAGAAGTAAATCAATACTGTTCTCCTAAATTAATTGCAATTACTTAAAAAAAAAAGCATTATAGGTAAAACAAGCCAAACCTCAGCACATTTCTAGAGTCAGTTCCATTCTTGATGAGTTCAATAGCTAATTCTTAATAGCATCTTCTTACTCAATGTTCATTTTTTTCATACACGCATAGAAAGATCAGCACATATATTTGTAAATTATTTATTTCAACAAAAAAGCCTTTCAGATCAGATTTTTATGTTAGTTGTACATATGCAGTGCTTTGGACTGTCATTGGAATTCTCTGCTGTGCAACTGGTACCAGAAAATGGGTCCTTTACTTAGTTCTATGGCTAAGCCAGTTATGCCTCTACAGTTTTCGAAGGGCTCTAGGCGTGTACGTGGTTTCCACATAAAAACAAATGCGCTTTGATGGGAACAAACACAAACAAGTATGTACAAGTGACATGTTTGCACGTTTGTATTATTTGTTCATTGTTTTCATCGGTCTTTTAGGAATTTTTATCCTAATAAACTCTTTTCATAAAACCATTTATTTTATGGAGATGCTTGGCATTTGATGTAAGAATTTTTTGATAATAGAAAGTTTTTACAGAACAAAACCCACCACCACCTCTCTTTCTCATGTATAATAGAAGTTGCTAATATACCTTTTCAAAATATGGTCTCCTGAGATGAATATTGTTGCTTGATCAGAAAATACTTGCTGTTGTTGGGGTTTTTATGTGGGTTTGGTTTCCAAAAGAACAATGTTCTTTTTTAATAGAAAAATGAATGAATTATTCAAAATGAAAATCTGTGCATTGTCTCAAGCTCCCTGTCCTCAGTGAAACTAGAAACATGCCCAAGAAAGGTGGTGTGCTTTTGGCAGAAATCAGGACAATCTACAAAACAATGCCTCCATCAGTTCTTAGGCAGCTTGATGGATGGTCACCAGGGAACAGAAAAAAACATAGGGGAACAGAACTTCAGCTCAGGGAGCTGGATGAATAGGTGGAAGAATTTCGCTAACTGTATTTGGATTTTCTCACACTCATGTTTGGTTTTACTTCCAGTTACCTAATATATGTATTTTATGTGGCTGGCTTTGTAATCTTTCTTTCTTAAAGTGAAGTTCAAGTTGCCTTTGCGGATTAAGGGAGAGGTCTATTACTCATAAGGGATCCTATCTCAAACAGAATTAGTACAGGTATAAATTAATCATCCCAAAAACATGATTGGCATTGCTTGTGTGCTCAATGAAATGTTGAGAGAAAAACCTCCAAAACCTGAAGGCAAGCACGTAGTTCAAGTCTAAAAACTATGTGTTTGAGTTGGCAGAGAAACTCCCAATTTTTTGATAACCATTCTGCATTTTCACATCATAAAAGTATGATTTCAGGACTTCCTATGCACTGAGTAGGAGCTTTAAGTGGCTTTATGGCAGTTGTGGCACTATTCAACCAGGGCTTTATTAGCTACAAGTTCTGAGTAGTGCAATAGGCATCTGACTCAGAAATCCCTGACCTGAACTTCTGTCCTGTCCCAAGGAAGCTCCTATGTAAAGGATGTAGTATGTCAGAAAAGAGTCTGGTGAGCAAATAGTGAGAAAGACCTTACTGCTCTGTCATTAAAGATTTTGTAAGAATTTATTAATCATTGTATTTTCCAGAAGTTCAAAATTTGCTTGCCTGGTAGTATTTGCATTTGATACGCCAAAACTAAACCAATTTGCAATGTTCTTAATAACTAAGGAAAATTTGGAATAATCTGTTACCTTTTCATAAGGAGGAAGAGGTATTCCTCTACACCATTCTCCTACAAAAGGGGGAGAGGTGTATAAATATGTCTGTGGGCACACAGATGTATATGTTACTGCTTATGTGTGCCAGTAAGTGTAAGCACTAGTTAATGACTTCTATGCAAATCCTTTTTTTCTTTTTTTTAGGGGGGAAATACTATAATGCTTGCAAATATTATGTAACAACAATATACATGTGTACAGAAATTTATCAGAATGGATCATCAGGAAGTTTTTAGGGAAGGTTAGCTCGTGCTCCCAGCTAACAATGGCAGTTTCTTTTAATTGCTTCAAGTTTTTTGTTATTTCATGGCACTGTGTATAAATTACTTCTACTTCTGGGAGGAATTATTGAGGTCCCTGGTGTGTATGTGTGTTACAGTCATATATTATCCTGTTGTTTTCACACTCTGAGCCTACAACTCGCGCAGCCAGAATTACCCACTGCTGGTTTTATTAAACACGCACACTGTAGAAACTGATTTGAATAGCTGGACTTGACTGTTGTTGCCCAAAATTAGAAATAAAGTTTATGGAGTATCTGATGTGTGTCTATATTCACGTGTACCTGTCTGTTACTGTGGCAGCTACGTGTATCTCTGAGAGCGTGATGATACTGGCAGTATGTAAGTGGTCCCGAAGTGTTTTCGGTAGGAAATACAGATGCTGTCAGTCACTGTGATCAGATCCTCCTCACTGTACATGCTTAATAGAGGTGGCTGAGGAGGCTGTGAGGAGCCTTGGCACTCTCTTAATCTGACAGAGACTCCAAAGACACATGCAGACCACTGAACTGCTTTCTGTCTCAGCTGAAGGGCATTCAGATAAAGCTTTGTAGGGTGATTGGCCCTGCATGTTAACTTGTTGAAACAGAAAACATTTGCTGCTGCTACCTGTGCCTTTTGCTTCTTGGAGCAAGCATTTTGGTCTCCATATGCAGTAGTGGTTTTTTTCATATTTGGCATTTATTTAAAGACAGAAGTGTGATTCACTGGCTGCTTTATTCAGTGTTTTATGTAATTGCTTTATTGTGTTATTTTTTTCCAGGAAGAAGCCACCCAAGGCGGCTTGTGCAAGTGTCTTAACGGGCGTCCACTGTCAAAGATTGGGACCATTGCTTGGATGATAACACTGAGTGATGCCGTACATAATTTCATAGATGGTTTGGCTATTGGTGCTTCTTTTACTTTGTCTCTGCTTCAGGGGCTTAGTACCTCCATAGCCATCTTGTGTGAAGAGTTTCCTCATGAACTGGGTAAGGAACTTCTTTCAACATGTTATTTACAATTGTTATTTCTATGTGGAAATCGCTGCTGTAGGAGGTTGTGGTCACTGAAAGTTGGCACAGATTGAAAGAAAGTTTAGACAAATTAGTGGAAAAAGTATTCATCAGAAACTTCCCAAGCACCAAAATACACATCTACCACAGGAAGTTCCTAAGTGCAGGTGGTGGAAGCTGGAAATGTACATTAGAGAGGTCTTAATTGCCCTGTTCATATATGCTGCATACACTGTTGTATTAACTTTTTTTTAAGTTATTATAGGTAGTTCTGTGTTCCTGTGCTCTTAGCTCAATTGTGCATCATCTACTTGCCTTAGAATATTTTAGTTACCTTAGTATTGAAGGGAAATCCTCATCATTTACTTGAATGAAGAAAAACAGCAGGGGGTTATAATTTGTATACAAATCATGTCTTTTCTTCAGGCTTCATGCAATATCAGAAAATAATCACAGTATTGTTTTCTGAAGATGCCTTTCTTTTTTTCTTTCTTTTAGGGGATTTTGTCATCTTGCTTAATGCAGGAATGAGTACTCGGCAGGCTCTGTTTTTCAACTTCCTGTCTGCATGTTCCTGTTACGTTGGGATGGCTTTTGGCATATTAGTAGGCAACAACTTTGCTCCTAACATCATCTTTGCCATAGCGGGTGGAATGTTCCTGTACATCTCTCTGGCAGATATGGTGAGATATAATTTCATTTTCTGTTATTTATTTTTCTGCAAGAAAACAAAGACTGTACTAAGTCTCTTCAGTAGAATTTAGTATTTTGTCCCTCTCGTGCCAGTGTCTTCTACTTATTGTTATTGTGAGATGTTAAATTGTCAATTATACCCTTAACGGATGTGCACGAATAGTTATGCTTATTCATCAAGCATGAAAGCTTTTCGCCTCACAAATAGGGCTGATCAGATTATTGCTGAAAAGGAGTTCTAGAGTGAACCTTTTCATGATTTTGGGCTGGTTTCTTCAAAGGCTAAAAAGTGTATAAATACTTTTATTTTTCATCACTTTAAAGTGGCAAAGTATTTTACCTTACTAGTTTTAAAAGGTTCATTTGTCTATATAAAGCACGTTTTGAAAGAAAAGCAAAAAAAAAAGGTAAACAAAATGAAACTGAATATTTATTTTGAGTTGAATGAAAGGTGTTGTATAACGACAGTGATAATTTTGGGGTTGTTTAGGCGAAAAAATGACTTAAATTCTAATCTGATTTAAATGAAATAGTGCCAGTCCCAGTTTCTTGGTTCAGACTAAAAAAAACTGATGAACTCTATTCAATCTATGTGTCTGTCTATCATTTATTTTTTTAAAGTGTGCTAGGAGATAGAAATCAAAGAAATTATGCTAAAGATCCAGATCAGATTTATACGTAGGGAAATAAAATCTGGATTCCCAAGCAGCCAGCAATATTCCATAATTTAGTCTTGTAATTATGTTTTATCTCAAAATGAGAGAGATCTTTCAAGAATTTTAAGTGTTGTTATATTTAATTCAATGTATCTGCAAAGGTGGTTACACCTGCCACATGAGAATCCATTTGAGCGTAGAACTGGAAGAGTGAGGCCTGAATTTGACAAGATTTGAGACCCCAGTCTGTTTCTATATGCATTTAAGAACTGTCATATAGTTATAGGGACTATTTCATTAAATACTGTTATAGTTTAGGTGATAACATGGGATTTAATAAGTAATACTATTAGAGTTAAATGAACAATATAAATTATTTTACAAGTTCACAGTACCTTAATTTCTAATACTTTTTCATTTAGTTTCACTCTTATATCATGAATAGTAGTGTACTCAACTATGATGTGTAAAACTCATGGCGTAAGTTTACCGTGGCTCAACTTAAATTTGTTATTAAATCCATCAAAGTAGGTAACATTCTTGTCTTTGTATCTTGTTTTGTTCTCTCGGTTTCTCTCCCTCTCTCCCTCCCCCTTTCCCCACAGTCTCTCTCTCTTTCTGTAGGTTTTTGGATTGTATCAATTCCTATCTGAATTTTTCTCCCCCCTGAAAAGTCTGAAATAGGGTGTTCAAGTGCTCTGTACAGAGATCTGGCTTTCCGCTTTCTGTTACGATTTTCACACACTTCTGGTTTGCTTGTCCAGAAGCAGGTAGGATTAATTAGAATGTCATTCCTTCCTTCCTTTTCTTGTTGCTGTTCTTTTTTCCTCCAGTATTGGCATAGTCCAGCCTCTGCCAGTAAGATCACTGTGTGGTGAGGCTGTGGGCATGTGAGAATGTGTACGCTGAGGTGTGTGCACAAATGAGCCTTGCTGTATGGCATGAAGCTGATCTGGTTTCTTGTCTTTGCCTCTTGTGCAAGAGGATTACAGAGCTCCGGAATGATTTCTGGGAAGGTCTGACCACTTCCCACTAACCTTAGTGTGTTTTTCAAGAATTGCGTTACCTTCAATGGCTGTTTCTGCCGTATGAGATCAAAGAAAGATATAGCTTCTGAGTCACCCAGCCTGAAGGTTTCTAAACTAACACTGAAATACATAGTCTTCATTGCATTCTGACTACACTACTCCCAGCACAAGAGGAGAAGAGTTTAAAGCTTATTTGAGTATGTTTGTCAAATCCACTGTGGACTTTATCTGCAGCAAATGCATACCCTGAATCACCCCATACAGGGGACTTTATCGCTGGTGCTCATCTGCCATCACTTCCATTGGCGCTCAAAGGAAATATCATTGTATCTGCAGTGAACAGCAAATCAGTCATCCTTTGCTATTATGTTGCCATTAAGATGCATGCTTCAGAATGAAGAATCCCTTCATTGCACTGTAATGTAATATTGCATGTGTTACCACCAGTTTTCAACATTTTTTCTTATTTCTTCCTTGCTTTACCACTACCTCATCAGCCCACCAGACCTCAGAAACAGGTTTCCTGTTTCTGAGGGGTTTTCTATGTTCACCTTCACTTCATTTGCTTATAGATAAAGCAGAAGAATCCTAATCTTCCATTTCCTGAACAAGGATTTCTCTGTTTATACTAGTAAAGGAAGAAACACAACTTTTAGTGATACAAGGGCAGCTGCTCCTAGCAACATATGGAACAACAATTGGACCCTAGGAGACTGCTGGAATCAAAAAGAGGAAATTTGCATGGGAGAGAACCCGGTGAAATTACAGTAGAGAGAAACAAAACACCATTTCATTTTATCATCCTTGGTGAAGTGGTTTTTCAGGGTAACTAGGTTGACCTGTTCCTGTGACTGCCTTCATCCTCTGTTAGTTCTAATACTCAGTTTGAAGTAGCAATATGGTTCAGTTCTTCATGCCTTAAGTTATGCATGCTACCACAAGATGGCAATACTTACCTAAAAATATCCCTTTTTTCAGTTCCCAGAGATGAATGATATGCTGCGAGAAAAAGTGACGGGAAGAAAGATGGATCTCACATTCTTCCTGATTCAGAATGCTGGGTTACTAACGGGGTTTACTGCTATACTGATGATTACCTTGTATGCAGGAGATATTGAGCTGTGATAATGCAAGTGAAAATGGAATCACTACTGAAGACATCACGTAAATTACAAACAGAAGACACTTGAAATCCTTAAAGGGACATTCATTTAATCTACTTGGTTTTGAAACGGTGACAAGTCCCATCCTGTCCCCCTTGCTCCAAATACAGGGAATTCTTCTTTAGTCCAAATAGTAGGAGCTGTCAACTTCTGTACTATGCCAGAGAACCAATTCTAATATTTTTATTTCTACTTAAAATTATCAGACGTGTCTGAACTGTCATAGACAAAGGATGTTACTTGGCCAGTAGAATTATGCAATACATGCAACTACATGCAACTCAAGACCAAATGAAACCTGAGGTCTTCAAGGAAGATGCTTATTTAATAGAAAATAATGGAGTCTCATACCCTTTTTAAACTGTGATGAAGGCAAGCAGTTTGAAAGCTGGTTAATTTTCATGACTTTTGTTGCAGGATTTGTCTTTGTAACATTCCTCCCCCCTTCCCCCCCAAAATTAAACTATTTCAGAGTAGGTGCTAATGAAGCTAAGATTTTTAATTTCTAATTAACACTGGAAGGAAAGATACCAGTTACTGCTTTTGATCTTTTCTCTTTATAAGTGCACTAGGGAATTGTTGATTTATTTTGAGAACCACTTTTTTTAATTAGAGGGAACCTGTGTTAAATTTATGACAATTTATCAACTCCATAATATTTTAGAAACATTGAGTATTTTAAAATTGTTCAAACATTTTGTATTTTATGAAAATATTAATGTTTTATATTTAAGTTCCACAAATATCCCTTTTAAAAATCAGTAATTTGGGTTAAAATTTTTAAAGATTTATTGTTAGTTTTTGTGGAATTTAGAAAAAAGTTGCTAAAATCAACATTCCAGTAAGCTTTTTTGTAATTTGAATAATTTTAATGTGTGCAGTTGGGTGAAAGTAAGTGATACTAAAATATACAGACTCTTATCACAATCTGTTGAATGTGAACTTTCTAAAATCATGCTTATATGTATGAGTTCTTCTGAAATAAACAATTCAGCTACTCTGGTGTTTTAAGATGTGTGCAAGGAAATTCATAAAAAATATATTCCCTTTCAGTCACCACTAAGCTTTGAAGGAAGTGTTGTTCTCTAGGAAGTTACTTGTTTTCATTGATTTTTAGGCAAGTTTTACAACTTCAGAGAAGATACTGTTTCTTGACGTATTTCCTGACAGTAGGAAGAGGCTAATCTTTTATTCTTAATTCACTATTAAAATATATTTTCTATCAGGTAAAGGATTTATTTTAATATTTTATTTGAATTTCATCTGTAATTACATTAGAAAAAATAACTTCTCCAGGTGTCTGGTTGATAAAAACTTTAAGGCAAGCTGCACAGGAGTTGTAAATGATACTTATTTTAAAATATGTCACAAATGTTAAAATGTAGCTATAGTAGTCTATGATATTTACTGTATGGAAAAAGCATTTATTAGTCACTTTATGCCCTTCACTTCTAAGTGAAGAAAAGACCACCCACTCCATGTTCTTTCCTTTAATTCTTTCTTTTGTTGATTCCTTGAATATAAGCTGTTTGTAAATGCTACTCTTGTGTATGACAAGAATGTATTGTAATAACTATGAATGTTCATTGACTTTTTAGAATAATTTGACCATTCAGACTGTTATAATAATTCATCAGATTATTATAATAATACGCCTGCATGGTCCTTTTCACCTTTTAATCCAAACATTTGCAAAGGAGACTTGATTTTTGTTACCTCCCTAAGGAGGAAAAACTGAGACAGACAGGTCATTGAAGTAACCTGCTTTTAGATCACACAGCAGACTAGAGATGGAACAAAGTCTGATTTTCAGGGTTGTACTTTAAGTCACAAACCAAATTGCCTTTTCTGCTAGTGGAATATTTAGTAGGCAAGAAATCTTTTTGATTTCTGTATGAGCTAGTTTGTCTGTATAATTTTTGTTATTATGTTTGTCCACTACATATAAAATAAACCTATTCCAATTCTAGGACTGCCAGTGATTTCCTAGATTTTGTTGATACATTCAGGGAGGAAGAATGTGAGAAAAATTATTGGGTTTTGACAAATAAGACTCCCTGAAAGTTTGGAAATCAGTTGAGGGAAAGATGTTTCATATTCTTTCTCATGTTAATGTCATCTTATGTGTTCACTTATATGCTGCTATCTCTTCAGCCTTCTTTTCAACAGTGTGCCAATTCTGTGTATAATATGATTTCAGGGGGCTCTAATATGCCTTTGTATTCGTTATTTCCTTAGGGAAAATTATCTGATATCTAATGTTAGACATTATCTAACATACACTTGGGAAGATATTCTGTGTTAGCAATGCTGTCGTAGATAGTATACTGTCATGAAGTTTGCTCTTTTTTTCATGATGTAGTTCATGACCCAAGACACACTTCAGTAAATTTCACTGGAGGTGGGGAAAAAACCCAACACCGTAAAACCCCCACAACTATAAAAGACACTAAAGAAGGAAGAACAATTGATTTTGGAGCAAAAGCATATAAAGAGCAACATCATGGACAAAGGATAAACCCTAGAGTTGTTCTGATCCCTTGAAGAAGGGATATGCAGAAAAGTGAAATGGGCTATGGGTGAAACCTGTCAAAAATGTGGTACATAATTACTGTCTGTGATTTCAGGAAAAATGAATTGAAAAATTAAATTGGTGCTTCAAGTTCAGGGTTACTGCTTTTGACATTTCAACGAGATCTTTACTGAATAAGGATTTAAAACATCAGACTAAAAATTTGGTCTCAACTATAACCAGCTAAATTAAATATCAACCCCATTCTAACAGTAGTCTGGAACTCATTGTGGTCTTCTATATGTTGAAGTATTGGCCCTGCTGCTCCACCAAGTTTTGCAGCCTGCCTGAAGCTTTGCGATGCCTTAGTTGAGAACGCCACAAAACCTGATCTACATAGTTTAAAGATGACTTGAATGTGCATAAATTACATTCAGTTATGCTAATGACAGCAGTGGAAACATCTCCTATTTGATACACATAGAGAATCAATTGTGTGCGCTAATTTCTGTATTGCAGTCTGTAATTTTTTAAGAAACCACTGGTTGTACCTGTACATAGGTGAACAGGTTTACATATTTGCGTGCTGATTTGTCTTGTACTGTAGCATCTCATCTGTGTAAATTTGAAGGCAACTACGATCCAGGAAGAAAACAGTCTTAGATAACTGTTTTTCTACTCCATGCAATTCTAATGAAGGAGGCAAACAGTGTTGAGCCAAGTTTTAACTTCTGTGAACAAGTAACTTGTTGCTAAATTTAGAACATGGATTGAACGCATGTTTCCTTTAACTCTAGACAATAATGCTAAACAGTGGAATTCAAGAAATCTTTCAGATCCCTTGAAACTTAAAAAAAATAAAATCCTACAAACTGTTTAAGTCAAGTGAAAGCTGCTTAGATAGAAACTTGATTGTAAGAACAACAACATGTAACAAGAGAGGCAGTCCCACTCTCCTCTCTACTGCTACAGGAGCTGGCCAGCTGTAGTTGAGTCCTTGAGTATGCTGCAACAGCTTCAGGTGCTGGAGCTTCCAGCTTATGTGGTAGGTGCAAGAAAGCACAGATGCCTGGAGGCCACTTCCAAAAGGACAAAAATTGTTCAGAATTCCTCAATGGAAGTTTGACTAAAGGAAAAGAAGACAGAGAAAAATTGTCTCTAGAAATGCATGTTTTATGTCAGAAATCAGAATACATATGGAAAAGGGCACTAACTTGGATTATCCTTCTGCAGGCGGTTACTCTGTATAGATTGGTAGGTGCCAGAGAACAGTTTTGTATATGCATATGCACCAAATGCATATTGTAGCTCTTGACTTTTATTTTACTATAATATCCCAGACTTTCCAGGAATGCTGTAGCTGCCTTATCAACTCTTAAAATACTTGATGCACAAGTTATCTCTCTAAGATTTGAGAAGAAACTCCTCTCCCTATCTTGCAGTTCAATTCAAAATGTACAGGTGTGACAAGCTGACAAAGGTTGCTAAAATGAAAACTAGACAGAAAGCCCTAAGTCTGCTAGCAGTAGATATAATGCACCTGTCAAAGATAAGGTTACATTGTATTTTTAGGGCTTAATCCCTACTGCATTTCTTTTGTACCCGACACATTGTCATTTTAATTTTTCTTTTTTTTTTTTTCACTTATTACAGTACTTTTGAAGAGGATAATGCATTTAATGCTTTGTAGCCCCTGTTATGATCATAATGCTTTATTCTAATCTAAAAAACCCTCCACAATTTCTACATCTTCCATTTTAAAGTTAAGTGCTACAGCATTTAAGGTTTGGGGTAAAAAATAGGAGATATTGAATGGCATAGGAAGTGAACTGTGGGGAAGATGTAGTTGAATTTATGGATAGCATGTGAATTTAGGAGATAATGTAATTCTTCATAATGTAGCTATTAACTGCTGCTCTGGGTGAAAGCACTATGAAAGATTCATAGGACCCAAATTTTATTTCCTTTAGAGAGATAACAGTTCCTGAGTCTTAAGAACAAATAATTTCAAGTAAGGATTGTTACATTCTTCAGGATAGAAGACTAAATCATACAAGCAGAGTATAGGCAACTGTGGCATCCAAGGAGGGACCTGGATCTCTGTATCATACTGAAAAAGCTGTTCTGTCTTGTGACTGTGTCATTTGCAGTCTTTGTTTCTATGTGACAAAAGACTTCGGGAGAATCATTGATGCAGATGAGTAATAGCATCTGTAATAGTGACATGGCAGGCTCCAGGGTGCTCAAAGTTCCAC